TGTTTAGGGGTGGCGACCGATTCAGGTTTAAGGAGGTAAAGTATAGGTTTAGCAAGGCGGTGTGAGATGATAAACAGCTGTACTCATGCCCCATCCACACTACTCCATTTTAGTTTACAAACAGAGAATTAAAACGAATACGATCTCCGTCCACACCAGCGTTTTAGCTGCGTTTTGGAGTTGATCTCCGTCTACATTAAAACGACCAACTATTGGTCGTTCAGGTTCACTTGGTATGCGCGTGCCGGTGTAAACATGAAGCAGATGGTCTCTTCCTGGTTACAAAATATGTTTTGTTTTTTTGTTTTGTTTTTTGCATGCACCAATAAGGAGCTGGGACTGTTACTGAATGTAACACAGCACTGTGGCGGCGGAAAACAGACTGGGAGTCGTTGCCAAGTAAATATGGTGACATGCACAGTACAAGTGTAGGCAGATTATTGTTATTTGCACGGTACATAATATTTTAATAAAAATACCATGTCAAAAACCCTGTCAGTAGCATCGTGTTTCTGCTTTGAGTTCTAAGACCCAATCAGAGAGCCGAGGGTGAGCGGCTGTGTCATCATTTCTATAGTCCTCCGTTTTGGCCCATCTTCACTAAAACGCCCTCCGGAGTTTTGAAACGCAAAACGGGGTCGGGTTTTAGGTCTTCGTTTTCACCGTTGTAGTCTGGACGGGAGGTGCAAACATAGCAAAAGGTTTCCGTTTTAATTCAAAAACGCAGTAGTGTGGATGGGGCCTCAGTTAGACTACAACACCAGTTCTCAAGAAATGACTCTGCTTCTCAGATGCTTCAGGCAGATCAAAGCTACAAACCTAAATCCCCCCGCTCCATGAACGACTCACGCCTTGCCAATGACTTGAACCAGTTTTACTGTCGCTTTCAAAGACAATGGGACAGACCTGACACCATCCCCCGTTACACCACTGATCAGACATCAGATCACTATCTCATCCTCCACCTCCTCCCCCTCTCATACCATTCTAGAGAGGGATGTTCACAGACTGTTCAGGAGGCAGAAACCTTGCAAAGCAGCTGGGCTGGACTCTGTCTCCCCATCCACCCTGAAGCACTGCACCAATCAGCTGTCTCCGGTGTCCACGGACATTTTTAACACCTCACTGGAGACATGCCATGTGCCAGCCTGCTTCAAAGTATCCACCATCATCCCTGTCCCCCAAAAAAACAAGCACCACAGGACTAGTCTACAGACCCGTCGCCCTAACATCTGCGGATATGAAGTCCTTTCAGCGCCTTGTGTTGTCTCACCTAAAACCCATCACAGACCCACTCTTGGACCCCCTGCAGTGCCTACAGAACCAACAGGTCTGTAGACGATGCAGTTAACATGGCCCTTCCCGTCATCCTCCAGCACCTGGACTCCCCAGAAACCTACGCCAGGTTGTGAATTATCAGCACCGTATCCCCTCACAGCTGCGATCTTTCCCCTCTGCTCTTCTCCCTGTACACCTACTGCAACTCTGCACCTCCAGTCACCAGTCCATCAAGCTCCTGAAGTTTGCGGATGACACCGCCCTCATTGGGCTCATCTCTGGTGGGGAGTCTTCCTACAGGTGGGAGATTGACCATCTGGTGACCTGGTGCAGCCTGGAGATAAAGGCTCTGAAAACAGTGGAGATGACTGTAAATTTTAGAAAGAGCCCAGCCCACCCTCTCCCATCATCCTGGGTGACTCCGCAGTCAACACTGTGGACTCCTTCTGCTTCCTGGGCACGAGAGCTAAACCACACCTCTCTCACCAAGAGGCTCAGCAGAGGATGTCCTACCTGTGGCAGCTGAAGAAGTTCAGCCTGCCAAAGTCAATGATGGTGCACTTCTACACCGCCATCATTGAGTCCATCCTCACCTCCTCCATCACCATCTGGTACGCTGCTGCCACCGCCAGGGACAAGGGCAGGCTGCAGCGTATTATTCGGTCTACAGAGAAGATGATTGGTTGTCACCTTCCATTACTTTTTATAAATTTATATTTCTATTTATGTTATGTGTACTGTAAGCATCAATTTATACCAAGGCAAATTCCTCATATGTAAAAATGTACCTGACAATAAACTGGATTCTGATTAATCTGTATCTGCGAGCAATCACAGTATTAACTCCCCCACAGAGAGGAATTGTTCACTCACTCTGAACCCTGAGGCCTGACATTTGCATTACACAGAACTGGAGCTGGTCAGACTCGCTCAGAAGTACTCGCCCAGTAAACGACTGCAGCTAAATCTTTTCTTCTTGTTGGTTCTTTGTCAATGTGCAGAGCTGTTGAAGTGCGTTTAAATTGCAAAGGAAGCTCATGTGCTCTCCAGGAAGGCTGCTGTTGTCACACCCTCACCTCACAGCCGTGTTTTCTCCTTTTGTTGCAGCTGCCGTGTGTGTTGCTTAGTTTTGAGTTACTAAATAATTCAGTAGTTTTATTTCAAGTACTGATTCTGAGATTTACCACTCCAATAATAGAAGACATGGGCTGTGAGAACTTTTTAACTAGTCCTTAATTTTTAACTGAAATTCAGATGACTGGGTGTTGTGTACCTCGGATAAGTTTGATATTTCCAACAGATATTGTCTTTAACGAGGAGGAATTTGGGTAGTAAACAAATGAAAATGCGTAGATATAGTGGTGGCCCGCCACAAATAAATCAATGTATGCGAAACACTGTAGCTAGCTAGCAGGAGAGTGGCCGTACAAACTGACACACACAAACATAGGTACATTTGTACATTGAAGAGATCAAGATCATTTTTGGTAGAAGGCTGAGAGTATGTAAATGTCACTCATGAGTACACATAAATTAGAGAACATTTACATGTTATAATGCCAAAACACCTTTATCTTAAGCCTGATTCTACAGAAGATATCACATTTCTTGTGGTTTTCTTGTTGAGGCTGCATCACCAATTAAAGCTGTAGTTTCACACATTACAAAACCCGTGCTTCTGCTGCATGTCATTGACACGAGCATAATCTTTGATCGACATGAACGAACAGCTGATTTGCAGCAGTTGAAACGTTGATTTGGTTTCTATGCTTATTCAGCTTAATTTATTAATTCAAACCATTTGGCTGTGAGTGAAGCTGGCTGTAAAGTCACAAAAACGGAAATAAGTCGTATCTCTAGAACATTTTGTCAGATCATGATCAAAATTGTTCTGTGGGTAGATAAGACCTTGGTGTACCTGTGTGCAGTGTACCATGCTTGATGTGCCTGTACTTGGCCCAGAGAACTGCAGCTTGCAGCTATATTTTGCTTTGTATTATTTTTATCACTTTCACAGCAAACAAAGCCCAGTTCAGTTCTCAGCCTTACATGGATGCCTTATGTTGTTTCAATGAAGGAGGAAGCATTATTTATAGAACCTAGAGATGCAAAACAGCACAATGTCCTGTTGTAGACTTAACCGACTGCTTAAATCCAAATGAAAAATGTTATTTCAGGCAGGGATCTCCCGTACCAGCAAGTCCGCTGATCACGTTCTGTGTTGACACAAAGCCTGATGATTTTAAACTGAGGATATTCAGACTGTAATCTTTGTCAAGTTCCTGCTGTGGTCGTTTTCTAAAAATAAATTAATGCTACCTAAAAAAAGAAATAGGTGCACATGGTGCAACATCTGATACTAAGTAGAGATGATAATATGTTGTGTCCTTTTTAAGATAGTTTGGTACATTTAGTCAGTGTTGGGAAAATGTAATTGAAAAGAAAAGAAATATGTTACTAGAAGGCCATAAATAAGTTGGTTAGAATAGAAATCTAACATGGAAATGCAAACATTGACACACGCCATGTGACACTTTGAAATGCTGATTTTTGAAAAACAAAATAACTCACATTACTACATGTTTGTTATTCTTACAAGTTGTTAGATATTCAGCCCGTAGTATTATTACATCTTCTGTATTCACCTTGTGTCTTTTTTCTTGGTTACTCTGCTATACCCAAAGCGGTCAATAGTGAAACCATTTCCTGAAACCCACTTCCCCTTTCTAATTTCAATCCACACGGCAAACCTTTTGTCATTCCCTTTCAACGTTGATTAATACACACGATGAGTCAAAAAAAAGACTTTAAAAAAATCTGTCTTTAAATGTTCCCTTTACATGATGTAATTATCCACACTGCCTCTGGAGGAGGTCTGAGACTTATTTGGCCACATTAACAGCAAAGGGTACATGTTTTTTCCAACCCACTTACAGAAGGTGGGAGCACACTTTTGCTCTCTGAACCAGGCAGGGAGTATATCCAGATCAGACAGGTGGCAGACTGTTTGTTATCAGGGAGTGTCAGGACACTTGTGGATTTAGGAACAGCTAACAAGGGACAGTGAGTCAGTGTGAAAGGATGAAACATTCACTTTTTATTTAGACAAATTTCAGTGTGTATACCAGAGATGGCTTACCTCACGCTATCTAAATATACACAATGAACCACACCTGTATCACGTTATATATTATTAAAGCGTTATGTGTTGCATTCACTAAGGAGCAAAACCTTGTTAATAGTTTAGTAGCCTCGGAAAGTTTGTGAACATTTTTGCTTGTTTCCAATTAACTACTGTAAAAACAGATGTATGCTATAATGTTCTACCAGTGTGTATTCTAAAGTTGGTTCAGATCTACATGCATATTAAATTTTTTCCAATATTTAAATAAAAGAAAAAAAAAAGAAAAATACAGCATAGTGCATTTTTGAAAGAGGATTGCTCTCTTTTTTTTTTTTTTTTAAATGTACCTTGTGGAGATGTAAACAATGCATGATTTCAATAATTTTTTTTAAAAGTGGGTGGTTTTATGATAATGGTAATGCATTTGGCGTGTTTGTTAGACCTCACATATACCCACAATGAGTGTTGGTGACAAAACACAGAGTGTAAGAAACTTTGTTTGTCTAAAAAAAACAAAACTCCATTTGGCACTTTTAATGCTAGTATTTACACAGCCTGGTTAACTGTAATGTGTCTTTCTGTTTGTTTTGCCTCACAGTAACGGAGTGGGGTGACGACGTACGACCAATCTCTGAAGAAGAAGCCATGGTCATCGTCAACCACCAATCCACAGGAGATGTGTGCACCCTCATGATGTGCCTGCAAGACAAGGGCACGGTAAGAGGAGAGAGAAATGTGTTATGTCGTCATGTGTTTTTAAGGTTAAATGGGGTCACAGTGTAATTAAAAGCCATGCAGTAGTTTGAACCTGGAGGACACTTGGCACATCTTTGTTTTGCAGAACAGGGTGCTGCTGAAAGTGTTATATGTGGGGGTGGGTGAAAAAATGGATTAAGTTAAGTTGGATATGTGCGAAATGACTATATCTATCATTTGACAATAGAAACATGTCTATCGTTAACAATTATGCACTATTGATTATTTTGTTGTGTAGCAAATTCAACACTTTACTGTAATATTTTGATGAGGGAATGGCATTTTGCACTATGGTGAAGTTAGTGAAGCGGGTGCTGATTTTATAAATCCAGCGGCAGCTACATGTGTTAATAAAAAAAAATACAGCAGCACTGTGGATGAGAGGAGAGGTGACTGCTGGATGTCATATTTAAGTTTATGTTCTGCTTGCTCAGAAAAAAAAAAATGAAAACGAATTAGGAGAATATTTGAAATGCTTCTTCAATTCTGATCATTTTGGCACAGGTGATTTTCCTTTGGCGCTCGTTAAAAGTTCTTTGGGGGGCACAAAAAATTTCTTTATGCAGGAAAAACTCTGGTATCTTTATTGGGATATGAAATGACCTATATCGGGATTAGGGCTGATGATTTTAGTACTCGAAGCTTCTGTAGATTATTTCATCATTACATCATTTAAGAAGTACTTTTGCTTGGCGGCGGCAACCCCCACCCCGGTAACAGAATCAGCTGTGTACGTTGAAAGATGACAGATATTTATTTGTTCTTTCGGATATTCAATAGTGTGTCATACAGCAAACATCAGACCAACAACCAGACAACTGCTTTACCAACACAAACATGACCCGGGTGATATACAAGTTACTCTAAGGTGCAGCTCCCCAACACCCGGTTAACTGATGACTGTGACGGTACAACCCAAACTTACGGCCCAACCATGAGAACAATAAACACACGTGTATACATTTTGAGATGAGGATTGCGGCTAGCCTTCACTCATGATTTCAGTTAAATGCTAAAGTTACTGTTACCTTGTCTGTGGTCCGCGTGCATAACACCAGATGCTTTTTGATCAGATGCCGTCGTGCTGTTACGTTAGGCGACATAAGTTTCGTTTTACGGTGTATGGACTTTTTGCCATATCGCGCAGCCCTATGTTGAATAGTCAACAAATCTCTGTCGAAAATGCAACGTAAAACTAACGTCACCGCGGTGCAAAGTGTCTCGTAAATTGTTAAACAATAGAGCATAATTTTAAACAATGGAGGTTTTGCTGTTGTCAAATTATACATATTGTCATATCTCAGCCCTATGCTGTATGTCTTAGAGAATACCAAATTAAAGCATTTGGTCAAAGTGCTTTTGTCTTGCTGCAGTGTGTGTTCAGTTGTGCAGTTTAGTCAGTCCGTGCCCTGTATAAATGAGCACCAGCTGCACTTCAGAAATTATCAACAAGAAAGTTTAGCCAATGTCTTAAATGTCTGTTAAGATGAAAAGTAGCTTCAGAAAAAGGTTAATTCCAAATTAAAGGAAAGGTCCTCTTTGAATTATCTTTCTCTATTCGTTATGATGTTTAATTCATTCCAGAGTTAGTTTGTAATGAGATGTTATTCATAATTTACTTTTTTGTACTCAGTGGAGTTCACATTGGCTTTTTGACTGCCACTATGGCAGGAGGCAGTTCTTTTTGTGGAACAGGAAGGAGTGATAGTGATGGGATGATTTGGGACATTTTTCAAGTCAAAGTGGTCGACACAGAGACAGACAGCAGCACAAAGCAGTGTTGTGATTTACAGCATTCAAATTACAAAATGTGAGGTTCAAGAGTTCAGCTAACTTTTTCAGGCAGCCAAAAACTCATGGGCAAAGTTTTGAGCGGTGGCTGCTGTGCATTCTTTCACACTGATCATTTATAACACGCAAGGAACCAAAACGTGTCCAAGTCAACAGGACAGTTTACACATTTTCATAGAAAATGACATGACGTGTACACCTACAGAGGTCACATAGTTGTTGGGCAATATAAACATAAAAGCAGATAACATCTGCATTGCGTGACTGAATATATCAACACTCAAAATGAGCTATTACAGGGAGAACTGAAGATGAAGAGAAGTTTTTTGGGGGGATAGAAAACACCTGTGTGGTCATGAAAATGTATCTGCATTTATTTGAACATGACATCTGGCTGGGAAGTAACCGGTCCAAAACTGCAGTAGAGCTCACTCTTTTTCAAGCAGGAATGCCAGCTCGCTACAAAATGTGAAACTCCAGACTGGTGTGTCAACACTAGCTGTGTTGACTGATCAATTAGTTTGTTCCTCAGTGTCAGATGTTGTTAGGGGATCAGATGCTTGTTTAATTTACACGGTTGACATGCGGCTACTACACTTTATTAAGCAGGTGTGCATTCATTAAACACAGAACTAGCTTCTTTTTTCTGAAAAATAGCAGCATGCAACATCAGGAGAGAAAAGTCAAATTATCTATCTAGCCTGAAAGTCAAGTCTGTCGCTTTTTCAAGAATTGATTAATTGACTCCATCTTCGCTGTCCTGCCACCCTGTACAAATCATCCTGGAGATTGGCTGGGATGGCGTGGGCAGCTGTGTTGTCATGTGTTTGTTTGTTTTTTGGCTGAGACTGGCTCTGCACTGGAGCTGCCGGGCGGCGCTGCACAAACATGATGACATGATCCGCCTCAACAACTGCATCCCTGGCCCAGTTTATCCTCTTAGTACTGACAGGGACAGTAAGCCAAAGCTGCATCGGTGCAGGTCATGAGGGTGGAAGTGCTCAGAGGGGCTGTATCAGTTTGGGTCACTGGCCCCAAAGCCAAAATCATGTGCTTTTGCTTACAGGCAAATGTGCGATTAAGGTAAATTATGCTGGGGCTGTTACAAATTTTCATTGTATTTGTCCTCCCTTTTTTCAGGTGGTACGAAAAATGATGTGGTTGATGGACCATGTGTTCAAATACACCAACTTTGGCCTAGTGTCCCTGATTCATGGAGACTTCTTCATCAGACAGGTGAGTGACTCTCAATTGGCACCAAAGGTCTTTGTAGGTTTTCTTTTGACACGTTTTATCACATTGTTTAATGTTTGTTTTTATTATCACACCTGTTATTTAGCCATCAGAAGTTTAACATTAACATGCTCTGCTTCACATTGTTAACACTACACAGATTTACATCCAGCGAGCTGCCCAGTAGGTAAATTAGCCTCAAGGCTACATTTACAGTGACCTGGAGATGACTATTTTTTTCCATCATTCTTCCCTGAATGTCTCAGAATTAATACATAGACCTTCAGGCCGTAATCCAACTCCTTTCAGCCTCGCAGTTACTGCTGGCCTGTTTTTTTATTGCGCTCTGCAAAAGTAGAGTTGCTACCCATCTGCTTGTCCCAGCTGGACAGCAGATATGTTAGTGTGCTTCCTACGGCTGTGGCGTCCTCTGAGATGGATGACGGCAGTGGACAGTAGTGTGGGAGGGCTGCTCAGGCCCGCTGGGTCAGACTGACCCTTTGTTGTAGGGGCAGCTGGAACTGACAGGCCTACACATGGAGCCACCAGGTCTCCTGTTGATCAGGGAATTCCTGGAATATAATGCAAGTTTGAGAGGTTAATTCCAGACAGGGAAGAATGATTCAGTGCAGATTCATAGCAAATGACAGAATATCATAAAACTGGTTGGATCAAAGTAAGAGGATATTCAATTAAATTTTATTTATATAGCGCCAAATCACAACAACAGTTATCTCACAGCGCTTTTCATAAAAGAGCAGGTCTAGACCGTACTCTATGATGTTATTTACAGAAGCCCAATAATTCCCACCAAGAGCAAGCACTAGGCGACAGAGGCAAGGACAAACTTCCTTTTAAGAGGCAGAAACCTCAAGCAGAGGCCATCTGCCTCGACCGGTTGGGGGTGAAGGAGAGAGAGAGAGAGAGGGTGATGGAAGGAGAGAGAGGGGAGGGAGGCAGCCTACACAATATACACACAGAGGTACAGACAGTGAAGGTGATTTTGCTATAGACTAAATGAAAAATGGTACAGATATTTATAGTAGTGTTGATGATAATAATTGTAATGTTAATGATTATAATAACAATAGGACTAGTAACAATAGTTGTAGCAGAGGGTGTCGAGCAGGAATACGGGGGCAGCAGGTGACCCGCAACCAAAGATCCAGACTCCACAGCTCCAGAACCAGAAAACCTGCAGGAAGTGATAGGAGGAGAGAGGAGAGGGACAAGAAAGCACAAGACTACCGGAAAGGGGAGAAGTTGAGTTAGTAACATGCATTAATGGGATGAGGTTGCGTAGAGAGGGAGGGAAAGTATAGGAGAGAGGACCTCAGTGCATCATGGGAAGTCCCCCGGCAGTCTAGGCCTATAGCAGCATAACTAAGGGATGGTTCAGGACTCACCTGAGCCAGCCCTAACTATAAGCTTTATCAAAGAGGAAAGTCTTAAGCCTACTCTTAAATGTGGAGATGGTGTCTGCCTCCTGAACCCAAACTGGAACCTGGTTCCACAGGAGAGGAGCTTGATAGCTGGCTCCTAGTCTACTTTTGGAGACTCTAGGAACCACAAGTAACCCTGCATTCTGGGAGCGCAGTGCTCTGGTGGGGTAGTAAGGTACTATGAGCTCTTTAAGATGGTGCCTGACCATTAAGAGCTTTGTAGGTAAGAACAATGGTTTTAAATTCTATTCTGGATTTTACTGGAAGCCAGTCTATAGAAGCTGAGACAGGAGAAATGTGATCTCTTTTCCTGGTTCCTGTCAGAACACGTGCTGCTGCATTCTGGATCAGCTGAAGAGTCTTAATGGACTTTTTCGAGCAGACTGATAATAGGGAATTTAAGTAATCCAGCCTAGAAGTAACAAATGCATGGACTAGTTTTTCTGCATCATTTTTAGACAGGATATACCTGATTACCTAGGTGAAAAAAGGCAGTCCTTGAAATTTGCTTAATGTGAGACTTAAACGACATGTCCTGATCAAAGATAACTCCAAGATTCCTCACAGTGGTGCTGGAGGCCATCAAGGGAAACTATTTCTTTAGATAATGCGTCACGGAGGTGCTTACGCCCCAGAACAGTAACTTCAGTTTTATCTGAGTTTAACATAAAAAAATTACAGGTCATCCAGCTTTTAACATCCTGAAGGCACATTTGAAGTTTAGCTAACTGATTAGTTTCATCTGGCTTGATCGATAGATATAACTGAGTATCATCTGCATAACAATGAAAGTTTATAGAATATTTCCTGATAATATTGCTTAAAGGAAGCATATATAATATGAATAGGATTGGTCCGAGGACAGATCTTTGAGGAACTCCATGACCAACTTTGGCATGCATGGAGGACTCATCGTTAACATGTACAAACTGAAATCGATCTGATAAATAGGACTTAAACCAGCTTAGAGCGGTTCCTTTAATGCCAATGAAATGTTCCATTCTCTGCAATAGGATCTGATGGTCAATGGTATCAAATGCAGCACTAAGATCTAGTAAAACCAGTACAGAGACAAGTCCTTTGTCTGATGCAATAAGGAGGTCATTAGTAATTTTCACCAGTGCTGTCTCTGTGCTATGATGAGCTCTAAATCCTGACTGAAAATCCTCAAATAAACTATTGCTCTGTAGAAAGTCACACAGCTATTTAGCAACTGCTTTTTCCAGGATCTTAGAGAGAAATGGAAGGTTAGATATAGGTCTATAGTTGGCTAAAACATCTGGGTCAAGTTTGGGCTTTTTCAGAAGAGGTTTTATTACAGCTACTTTAAAGTACTGTGGTACATAGCCTGTTGATAAAGATAGATTGATCATATCTAGTATAGAAGTGCTGACTAAGGGTAAAACAACTTTAAACAACCCAGTCGGGATGGGGTCTAAGAGGCAGGTTGATGGTTTAGATGAAGAAATTATTGAAGTTAGTTGGTAAAGATTGAGGGAAGCAAAACAGTCTAAACATATATCTGGCTTTACAGTTGTTTCTAAGGTTCCTGAGTTTAGAGATAAGTCGGTGCCAGTTGAGGGCAGGTCTTGGTGAATTTTGTTTCTAATAGTTAGAATTTTATCATTAAAGAAGCTCATGAAGTCGTAACTACTGAGAGCTATGGGAATACTTGGCTCAATAGAGCTGTGACTCTCTGTCAGCCTGGCTATAGTGCTGAAAAGAAAGCTGGGGTTGTTCCTATTTTCCTCTATTAATGACAAGTAGTACGCTGCTCTGGCATTACGGAGGGCCTTCCTATAAGTTTTAAGTTTCCGCGATATTTGCTTTAATTTGCGAGTTTCAGTATTATACCATGGAGCTAACAGTCTTTGTTTTATTATTTTCTTTTTTTAGAGGGGCTACAGAGTCGAGTGTCATTCGCAGCGAGCCTGCAGCACTATCAACAAGATGATCGATTTGGGAGGGGCTGAAATTAGCATAGGAGTCCTCCGTTACTTTGTGACTTGATAATGAATTTAGAGCTGATGGAATCGCATCCTTAAATTTAGCTATAGCACTATCAGACAGACATCTTGTATAGAAATTTTTGCCCAATGGCGAGTAGTTCAGCAATACAAACTCAAAAGTTATCAAACAGTGGTCGGATAAACAGGGATTCTGTGGGAACACTACTAAATGTTCAATTTCAATACCATATACCAGAACAAGGTCGAGGGTGTGGTTAAAACAGTGAGTCATGAACACTTTGAGAGAATCCAGTGGAATCTAACAGAGAGATAAACGCAGTACTGAAGCTGTCATTCTCAACGTCCACATGAATTTTAAAATCCCCTACAATAATAACTTTGTCCGTTTTAAGGACTAAAGTGGACAAAAACTCTGCAAATTCAGATAAGAATTCAGAGTACGGACCAGGTGCTCGGTACACTATAACAAAAAAAATTGGTTGCTGTGATTTCCAACTTGGGTGTGAAAGATGAATAGTAGGCTAGAGTCGAAGATAGCTGCGACTCCACCTCCTCGGCCTGTGCCACGAGGAATGTGAGTATTAATATGACTGGGAGGGGTGGATTCATTTATGCTAACATATTCTCAATCACCCAGCAAGGTTTCAGTAAGACAAAATAAATTATATATTATTAATTAAATTATAATCTGATATTCATTCATTTACTAGTACACCTTCAGAAGAGAGAGATCTTATGTTTAAGAGTCCACATTTAATTTTCCTATTCGTTTGCACTATTGCTCTTGTGGTTTTAATTTTTATGAGGTTTTTATGCACAGCTCCTCTTCTGTTTACCTTTGATTTAAATAATTTCAATGGTCGGGGGGCAGACACCGTCACTATAGGATTTTCACTAAGTAACTCCTGAAATAGAGGAGCAGAGAAGTGTGTTAGACTGCGACTCTGCGTAGGGTTTTGGGTGGGTAACTGCTGAAAAAGAAGGGCAGAGAAGTGTGTTAGACTGCGACTCTGCCTCCTGGTCTCAACTCTGGATTTTCATGGATTTGGTCCACTAATAAACTTGGCCAGATTTCTAGAAATGAGAGCTGCTCCTTCCCAAGTGGGATGGATGCCGTCTCTTCGAATCAGACCAGGTCTTCCCCAGAAAGTCTGCCAATGATCTACAAAGCCCACATCGTTTGCTGGACACCACCTCGACAACCAGCGACGGAATGACGACATGCGGCTATACATGTCATCACTGGTCAGATTTGGCAGGGGTCCAGAGAAAACTATGGTGTCCGACATTGTTTTTGCATATGTACACACAGACTCAACATTAATCTTAGTGACCTCCGATTGGCGTAACCGGGAGTCATTACCGCCGACGTGAATAACAATCTTACTGTATTTACGTTTATCCTTAGCCAGCATTTTCAAATAAGACTGAATGTCACCCGCTCTGGCCCCAGGGATGCACTTAACTATGGCCGCTGGCTTCGCTAACTTCACATTTCTCAAAATGGAGCTGCCAATGATCAGAGTTGGTTTCTCAGCGGGTGTGTCGCTGTGTAGGGAAAATCTGTTAGACGTGAACAGATTGATGGTACCCCGTGGGCTTCGAATGCTTACAACTATTCCTCCTTCGGACAGTCACCCAGTCACCCCTTCCTGGCTACTCAGGAGATGCTGGGGGACGGCTAACAGAGGCTAAATCAGGCCGTTCCGCACCGACTACCGGGGACTGGCTAGCTACAGTAGCTAAAGACTGATCTACCAAGGTGCGGAGCTGGACTTCTAAATCACTGAGCCTCGCCTCCATGTCTACAAATAAACTACGCTTGTTACACGTAGTATTACCGCTAAAGGAGGCAGAGGAGTAACTGAACATCTGACACACCGAGCAGGAGAAAGTAGGAGAGCGAGAGGGAGAAGGAGAAGCCATCGCTAGCTGCTGAGCTAATGTTGCTAACGGCTAAGCTAAAGTACTGTAGCACTGGCTACCAAAACTTTTGAACAACTATGAGATTGAACAGAAGTCACCAAAAGATGGAAAGAAGTGTGAGTGCTTAGGCAAAATTACTGTAAGAATAAGTGTTTAGCGGACAGTTGGCCACTGTAATCTAACAAATTTAACTGATATTTAGCGAGAGCAGCACAATACTCTACCAACACACAAGCACCGGAAACGGAAATGAGTCAACACGCTTACCGCAGTACATCAGCAACGTCCATGCTATATGCTATATATCAATGCTATATATCTCATCCAGAGTCACAACGGATCCGTAAACTGTGGCAGGTGCACATATAATATGGCTCATGAGATACAGTCTCCATTGTTATAAAAACAAACAAATCGCAATAAATCATAATATCAGAATCGAAATACATATCGAATCAGGAACAAAGTACCGTGATCGTATCAAAACGGGAAATGACCATATCGTCCAAGCCCTAGTTTTTTCCTATTTTCTCTGTGGGGCTGAGCAGGACTTGCTGGAACAGGTTCCAGTTGGACAAAGATTTTTTTAAAATATCATTACGTCATGTTAAATTACAGCACTGCTGATAGGTCGTCACTGTTGATTTGTTTTGAAAATTAATGAAAAGCCCACACATCCCTCTCTCCCTTTTTGAGCTGCAGAAACACCACAGCCGTGGCAAGAGGGAATTACATTTTTTAGGTCATGGAAATGATATTCACATGAGGCACTGTGCCGATGGTGAAGCACTCTGAGCCTGACAGCATGTAGTGGAAGGCCGGCCTGAGCACGCTCGGCCATTTCTGCCATCCTCCCTCTGTGATCCCCTCTGGCTTTCCCGTGCGTGCATTCTAGAGATTCTTCCCCAGAATACTTCACACATCGACACAGCACAGCAAGCATCTGCCCCAGCCTCCCAAGCATCTGCTGTCCACTCAGCCTGGCAGACATGTCTGCAACATCATTATGCACAGCACAACTCAGCAGGCTTTGATGGCAGTAGCACAGTTACTTGCAGTGCAGGGCTGTAATTGAACTTTTTTCCTTAGTAGTGTTAGTGCTCTCATTCTCTAAAAATCAAATTAGTGGATTCCTGTGAGAGGAAATTACAGGGATTTTAGTTAGCATTAGCAGCTTTAATGAAGAGAGAGAAAAAAACATCTAATGTTACCTGAGACATTTGCTTATCAAATTGTGCACCCTCCTTTAAATTCTTTGAATATTCACTGTGATTGCTCCTCTGACCTGTGGCTAGTGCATGTACACAGTGCAAATTGTATTTGTTTATATGTAAGCATGCTCAGTGGTCAGGTTATTTGGTACAACTACCAAAAATAATGCAACCCTGCTGTAACATCATTCTTCTATTAGGGCTGCACGATTAATGTAATCGTAATTGCAATCACGAGATCGTAATGTGCGATTACATAACCGCAATAAGTGTGCGATTTAATAAAACTGAAAACGTGTGTGTAACGCTCTCTTCTCTGTGTGCGCTGCGGTCTGCTCATTATCTCCGCCCACATTGGGCTCTCGCATGTGCCCCTAAAAACAGATAAGCCTACGTGCAATGAGAAATGTTTTATGAGCAGTGTGCCATTAACTTTTAACAACAACTTACTGTAACCCCTTTCCCCGCCCCACTGCTAAGCGTTCAAAACATAGTCTCACTCGCCACCGGAGCACCTAGAGATATTCCCGTGTTCTGGTCACTCCTTGACAGAGACAGAGAGATGTCATCTGCAGCTGAAGCAGTAGGCTAAGACAGAAGAAAACTGGGAGAAGATGAGGAAGGTTTGCGTTTGGCTCACTGGGAATTTAACATTATCTGCATTGGTGCCTTTTGCTGTTCAACTTTTCACAGAGCCGACATGCTTGTCAGTCACTTTTCGTCAACCGACCACAGCCTGGATGAAGTGGGACATTAAAAAAAGTTTGACGTGCTTCAGCAAATCATTAAGTTGAACAATATGATTATTGACAAGTTAGTACTTAGCATTAATAAACAGCAGACCAATGTAGAGCCTTTTGCTTGCACAAGGAGTTAATGAATAAAAACAACCCACAGAAATTAAACAGCTGTAACTGGATGTAATATTCAACTAGTGGTAAAAAAGTACACTATTATATGAAACTATAGTGAATACAGTAATCAATATACTACAACACTAACAGTACTATTAACTGAACATTACACTTTTTATTTAATGTAATAATATTATACTACATACTAGATCCTCTACTGTTTACAATGTGGCAAAATCAGTATTTTTATATTGGTGACAGAAAAAAATCTGCATTTCTTCTTTTTTTAATCTGAGAAATACACATTTCATAATGAAATTCTTATGAATGTACTATTTAATATATTATTGTTATACTAACGGTAAACTATTGCGTAAACATTATGCTCTTTATTTAATACACTCAGGTACAGTTCCTCCTCCAGGTTGTGGATAGAGACTCTGCATTAGACAGATGTACACTGAGCCAGTGTGCCAATATTTGCTGCTTCTAGCCGCCTCCTCCGTAGAGGAACTTCCTCCCCTTATTCTGTTTTACATCTGTGTTACTTTTTTATTTATAACTTTGTTCAAGTACACATTTCAAAATGTCAGTATTTCGTGCATTCCTTGATAATTAAGCAAGTAGACTCATAGTACCATTTGTTCCATTATAATCCAATCGCAAATTGCAATTTTTTTTATTGTCCACAATAATTGCAATATGACTTTTTCGCCAAATCGTGCAGCCCTAACTTATATTGAAGGTGTAATGTTCAGCTGTTGAAGGCTGCAGTTTGTGGTGCTGTGTAATTGTATTCCTTTATACTGACAGATGTTTTATCTGCCCCATTTTTATCAATGAGTGGAAAAACATCTCTCACTGATATACAGTAACCAAACACAATTCAACAGCACAACAAACTACCGAGTCCAAAATAACTCTTAAGTTTAATCAAAAAACCTTCATGTAGGATTTATTGCATGACTGTTGTATTTGACCGCATTGCTCATTTAAGAGACAGGTGGCCTAATATCAACGACCCTCAGCTGAGGATAAATCATTTGATGATTCAGTCAACTCCAAATCTGTAATGCAAAAAATTAGTTATTGGGGAAAAAAAGATTCTCCTGACATTGGGAAAGCAGAAGATGTTCTCTATTCTTCACCACTATATAGATACGTATATACAGCAACACTGTGCAGGATAATTCCTTCAATTCACGTGGCTTTTGTAGTCACAGTAAAACCACAGCGACAGTCTCAAGGTCATGTTTAGATAAGTTTGTGACGTGTCCAATTCTTTTCTTTCTCTGTGAAACAGTGACTTAGTAGCTGCAGCTTAGATTAATCCTTCACTTTTGTATTGGAAAATTATCACAATCTTTTGCTATTTTCACTGTGCTGCAAACAGTTTTTACGACATGCAGCTGCATTTGTGCTCACGTGTCACATAAAGTCCAGCCTGTGTATGCTAATGCATTTAAAATGGCTGTTGACCGGGCCTGACAAAAAAAAAATTAAAATCAATCCTGCTCTTATTCGTCCCGTCACTGCTAATGCTCTCAATGCTGTCAAGGCCCTCATGTTTTGCATCCATTTCATTCGTGCCGTTAATGCTGCTCTGAGTGCTCCTCAGTGTTACTGCATCTCTTAGCCTTAGCCTCACTTTGTTTCCTTGAGGCAAATAAAGAACGGTACAAAGTGTTTGAGATAATTGTATTTTTGCATGTTTTTAGTGCAGTCACCTAATTTTAAGACGGCCCCTTTTTAGAAAGCTGGAAACAACTGAAGCTGCACCGGAAACTTTTTCATCTATTCAAGATTTTAAACCATACATGCACCTTTATAACCGATTAAACTATGGTGCTTGTGTACTTTTTTTCCTACAGGGTAAAGCTCACCGAGACAAGCAGCTGGTCTACCTGAAAGATCACCTAGACAAATACTACCACAACCGCGACAGGAAGTGGATAGTGCTGTTCCCTGAGGGCGGATTCCTGCGCAAGCGGCGGGAAACCAGCCAGTTGTTTGCCAAGAAGCACACACTCCCCCACCTGACCCACGTCACGTTGCCTCGTCTTGGGGCCACCCACGTTATCCTGAAAACCCTGTCAGCCCAACAGGAGAATGGCAGTGTGGGCAGCGAGACTGGGACCCCTAACCAGACAGGTAACTAACATAGCTTTTCTCTGTGGCAATTCCATGTTTTCGCTTTCACAGGAATATTTGTAGGATCTATTTGGATTTATAGTTTCTTTTAATTAGGACTGGGTTGTATGACTATAATATTAATACATTGTATTAATACAGTGTATTTTTAAGTATGTTTTTTGGGCATTTTGTGTGGAGAGTGGGAGGTAGCTGCAGGCTGGAAATAAGAAGCGAGATGGAGGATGATATGCAACAAATGGTCTTAGCTTCTTCTTATAGCTAGATTGCTGATGAGTCTTGTTGGTGTGTGATGTGGTGCCTTAAAGCATTACACCGTTCTTGCCATTGGTTTCCTGCCTGGGATTCTAGTCCTACTTGATTCAATACCAGGTGCTGTTGGCCCAGAGTGGCAATGACAGACACCATTCTCCCTATTACGAGTCAGTGTACCATCAAAATGATTTTGAAGCTGTTTTTTTAAGATCCAGTTACTACTTAATGTTGATTTAATACAAACTCAATACTTGCTGGATCTGTTTCAAACAGGCCTCTAGCTCTAACAACGCTTTTATTGTGAAACATTTGCAGGACCATGTCTTGCAAGGTTCCCATACGGCACTTCAAATGTTGCTGTTGTCGTCTTGTCACAAAATACAGTTTAGCTGGGACATTAACACACACACACCCACAGTGAGTGAAATACAGCAGTAATATTACAGATGGGTAATCCAGCAATATAACAGAAACTTCCTAACCGGTAGATCCTATCCTAACTGCTTGGTTGGTAACCATGGTAATAAGGGTTAGGAACTGATTTAGGCCATTGATGTAAAAAAGGCCATTACAGAATAACAGTTCCTAAGTCAATATTCCTTTCCTAACTAAAGATAGGAAAAGTGTATTACAGAAGCATCCTAACTTCGTAAAATCTTAAATAAACACTCCTAACTTTAGGATAGCTGTTGAGCTGTCCTAACTTTTACTTTTCCACCAGTTAGTGTTTGCTAACTCGTTTAATCCACATGGTCGCTCTTTTATTGCTGTGACAAAATCAACAAATGTCAACAGGCGGAACTTATTAATTGATTCTACCGATGTGTTTGATGACAAAACCCTCGTTAGTAGAAAGGCTGTCGACGATGTAACGCTAGATAATGTCTCATTATATAACATAATATAAAGGCTTGTTGTAACAAAAGGATCCTAATGCAAGCCTTTGATAGAAGCAGATTGTTAAATTCAAGAAATACATGAAAAACATGACGACGTTTGCCTGCAGCCTTTATTAATATTTTTTACCTTCATTATTAACTTTCCCAAGAAGAGTAGCGTCAGTGAGGGAGCACAGGAGGAGCCACTACCGGGTTTCCTCTGCTCGTTGGACACAACTGTTGCCTTTCTCTTCGTATCACTGTAAATGGACTGATTTTCTTTTTAACAGCATCATGGATGCCGGAAATGCGGTGGTGACTGTGTCCGCTATTTTAGCCCACTCGCTATCATTAATCTCTGCAGATAAGCGTTACATGAATTTGGATTTCAAGTCATCTGACTTGAAGTTCAATAATAGTTGTTGTTTCTGCTCCATTTTCAGTTTATGTTTCATTTAGTTAGGATTTGCTTCTGTAATACCAAATTGTGAAAAATCCTATTTTAGACTCTTCCTATCTTAACTTAAGAGTTAAGATAGGAACTTTCTGTAATACGGCCCCAGAACAGCAAAGTGTTGAAAATGGCTGACTATACTGCTGAATTTATTAATTTAGAGCTACAGAAATGCACATCATGACATAAGCAGGGACTTTATCCACCCTAAGTGTTTTCCCCTGGCCTGTATTTGTGACCGGCCTCTATCTGGAGGGTTGTTTTTTATAAAAATATCTTTACAAAACCAAAAACCCAAGAGCAAAAGTTATGAAGGAATGGATTAAACACAGTTACATGTCAGTACAAGTACTGACATGTCAGTACAAGTACTGACATGTCAGTAGCCAACTTCATTATTATGTGTGGTTACAGGTTGCATTAAAACATCCACTGTGTGTGAACCAAGGTGCTACTAAGCTTATAACAATAGCGACTCTGTCCTGCTCTTTATCTGTTTTTGAGAAGTTTACACTCCAGTGACTACAACCAAACTTGAGTTAGAAAGTATAAAGGCGGCTTAGGCTCAGTAGGTAACTAACCACTAATCAGAAGGCTGGTGGTTCACTCTGCATGTCCAAGTGTCCTTGAGCAAGATACTGAATCCCAAATTGCTGTGTGTATGAATGTTAGTCCCATTCCGATGTGCAGTTGGCACTTTACATGGCGGCCACTGCCAACAGTGTGTGGATTGGTGAATTTGACAAGTATTGTAAAGTGCTTTGAGTGGTCAGACTAATACAAAGGCCATATTCTTTGGTTATTCCTCAACCTCAAATCCTTTTCTGTTATGAATATGAACACACTGTTTGAAAATATTAATTAAATTTAAATTAAATATAACATTAAGCCATAAATCTAGCCATTGTGTTAATTTCCCCATGTATGTGTTTTAATAGGGAGCAGTGTAAACAATCAAATGGTAAGATGAATAAAATTACATTTTTATATCCGTACTTGTATAGCGCCTTTCTAGTCTTTTCGACCACTCAAAGCGCTTTTACACTACATCTGCATTCATACACTGCTAAGTGAAACTAACATTCAGTGAAACTAACATTCAGTGAAACTAACATTCACACTCACTCACACACTGGCGGAATAGCCAATTCGGGGTTCAGTATCTTGCCGAAGGACACTTCGACACGCAACCAGGGGGAGCCAGGGATTGAACCGCTGACCTTCCGATTAACGGCCAACCCGCTCTACCTCCTGAGCCACAGCCGCCCTATACTATACTATAATTCGTAATCAGGAAATACACAAGTTAAAATTAATCTATAAGTTTTTATATGATAAAGATTTTGGCATTGACCCCATCGATTAGCAGCCAATCTGAGATCCCCCCCCCCGACAGCGTTTAGGACAAATTATGTGTTACTTCGAGGCATCACAAAACAAAGAAAATGAATTACCAGGCTTCAAACATGAATTATTAAATCATCACCTCTGTGTCCCATTGTCCTCTGGGAGTCCTCTATCAAATGAATGGTGACTGTTGGTAAAGATTGCCAGGAGAGGAAACGGGGGTGACATGCACAGAGGTGCCAGAAATTGCATCAAGGTCCCTGAAACGCCAATGGTTATTTGCAGGAGAGTAATTTTTCTGTCTAGAGACCAGCCCTAAATACAGCCAGTGAGCAAGGTAACTCTGCAATTAACAACCAGGAAGAGGAAATTTCTTTCTTTTCTTTTCTGACTCATGGTTATATTTTCAACTATTTAATGATATTTTACAAAAGAAATGGAGAAAACAGACATCAGCACTGGTCAGAAACCAAGTGAGGTGTACATTTTTTACTCTACTGTCTTTATGTCCATTTTATGTCTTTAGATGGATCCAGATATTATACGAGATGACAAATTTGGATTGTGAACTAATGTAAAAATAAATGTTCATGGGTTTAACTAAGCAAATTGGATAACTAAACTAATTGGATAACTCTAACCTGCTGTAAATGGTAAACCGGCTTCTTGGAATCATCCCCAGCAAAAAGCACAGTGCTGAAACAGCCATAAACATACAGATGCAATGAGTCCCCCATGCCCGTGCACACTGCATACTCAGTTTACCCAGCAGACTCTGCTGGCTTTGGTTCAAAATCCATTTTAAGGGTGTGCTGTGTTAATAGTAATTTGGAGAGTCTTTGGGCCAGCATTATTGAGAATGTGGCTCAGGGCCTTCCACAAGTTTGCTAACACAGCTCTGTGTCCTACAGCCTCAGCAGTAACAGCAAGATGCCGTCCGTTTATCCCTCTGCAGGACAGACTGTCAAACCAAAGGCGCATCTCTTAATCGGCCGTTGTAAAATTTAGATAAAGACAAGCGCAGCTTCATTTATGTGCTAAATGATGTGCTGTATGTGCACATTTTTGTTTTGGCTTTTCTGCTACCTTGGCACAAAGTCTTAACCATCTCATCAGTGTCAACAAACGCTGATGACTGCAGAGGTTTTGTTTATAACCTCTGACAGGATGGGGATTTATAACATTTTAGGGTTTCAGACATGTCAGTCCTTTTTATACAGTATATGTTCCCTTTCTTTAGTATACTGTAGATCCAGTTCACATCCCAGTTCTTTCTTTATGTCCTTTCGTCTGTTCAGCAGCTCTGGAGGAGGGGAAGCTGGTTGCTGCAGTAGGGCTTGTCCTTCCACTTGAATCTAGCTAATGGCATTAAAACATAGGGCAAGGAAAAAAAACACACACAGACACCCAAAAGAGCGCTCACTGGTGTGTGTTTGTGTGTGCGTGCGCGTGCGCGTGTGCGTGCGTGTCTGACTGATCAAAGACACAGCTCTGTCTCCCTCTGACCCTTTGTGATGCTCTGCAGAGGTGCCCAGAGCTTGCTGACTCACTCAGAGACAAATGAGCCACTTGGAGAAAATAGGATTTGATGTAAATGTGTGTGCCGCTGTGTATCAGCCACGCAATGTCAACCAGGCTAAATACACTGCTCAGTGCAGATACAAAGCACATGGGTCACTGGCTGCCAGTGTAGTTCACAGCCTACAGAAAAGCCTCCATGTGCAGGTAAGATACAAATCTTATCAAGCGTTGTGTTATAAAACAGTATTTACAGTTGGCAGGAAAGCAAAGTTCACAGCTGTGAGTCATTAAGGGTGGGAATGGAGCTCCATATGACCCAAAGTAAATGTGTTTGATAGCACCAGCCAATCGGAGGGAGTTTTTATCCACATTTCAGTCAGTGGGCGGGACAAGTGTGGGCTTCAAGTGTTGTGAGTGGCCTGATAGAGAGCCAGATGCATTTCCTTCCTCTAACAGTTTACAGAAGGACTGGGCCTCTCTGGTGTCATTGTAAACTTCCACAGCTAGTGTCATTTCAGTATTGTTTGTCACAGTGTATAGGGCACCAGTGATACCTTGGCTCAGGGCCCCGTTCTTTGGCCCGGCCACTCACAGGAGACGATGGCTGCCTTTCAGCACACTTGGCCAGAGATCTGTATCCAATTACCTACACAGGGATATCTGTGGTGTTAGTTAGCTATTCCCATCAATATCAAGGATGCCTATCAAGTCAGTGTAACTAGTATAAAGCTGTCTTTTTGTTTTTTTAAAGATCAGATATTATAATCCAGAACTAGACCCAGGTTTTTGTAATAGTTAATTAAGGCTATGCTTCAGGCTAGGCTATACAAATGAGTTAATTGTCCCTCATGCCAGGAAGACACAAAGTAGTAAGAAGTTAACACAGTAATCAATTTAGTAAAAATACAAAGAGTTCCCAAGCGTAAAGGTATAAGGAGTAAAACAGTAATTAACAGTTACTTAGAAGGTTTTATTAGCAACACATTAGCCACCGACAGCTAGCTTGGTTGTCTAATACTTAATTAATTGCATAAAAACTAAGTCAAAAATAAAAAAAACACTGTAACTCAGGGAATGTTATTTATTGACACTTCCTGTTTTACTGCTCTTGATACCATCAGAGTGTAATGTTAGGTGGCTGTTAAGTTTTGAAATTTAACTTCACTTTGTCACACAGGCACGGCATGTTTACCTCACATAAAGAAGCCAGTGTGCTGTGAGAGGGGAAGTACTTGCAGCACAGTAACAGCAGCCTGGGCTGTGACATTAGTCAAGCAGTCAAATCTGCTGCACTGCTTCACATCAACCTCATTTTAGATCTGTCCGCGCTGACCGAGGCTGCTTTTGTTTTCTCCTTTACATTTGACAAGCTTGTTCAGCTTAAAGGAACACTCCAGCGTTTAGTACAAAGGCAGGTCCGGGCGTTTAGAATAGCTTAGCTGTAATGCTAGATGTAGGGGGAAATGCGGCTTCTGTCAAAAGTGAAGAAATATGGCTTTTAACAATGTTACAGTGGATCAACTCTTGTATGTTTCTCAAGATTGACCACTCCCAGTAGTGACACACATTGACATACCATGGAAAGTCACTGCGTCCTTATTGTCAAACCCACAACAAACTTCACAAGGGATGTCCTGCAGGTTTTGAACAAATAACAGGCAAGGGGTTTAATGTAGATAAAGTACATCATCTTACCATGCACCTCCTTTTTATTTAATATATTTTAATCTTATTTGTGTTGACATGCAGGTGAGTGCAGAGCTAGGCTTGCATAATGTACATAAATACTTGAACACATGCACCCTCGCAGCTGACAAAATGTCCTCAAGTGTTTGGCAGTCCCTCTCCCATCGGTCTGCCTTTTTGTCTTTGTCTCTGTAATGGAGGGTGAGAAATTTAAGTATCAATAGTTTGTTTGAGCACGTTTTGAGGTCATTTATTAGTAAAGTAACATGATATGATGGATTCGCTTTTGAGGTGAAAATATTTCTTTAACTGTGACTCTTAAACGTAGCTGCCAGCCAAATTCTGTCTGGCTATACTCAGCCGGTAGGACTGTGTTTTCTACCAGTCACTTTGGCAGGTAACCAGCCTTCATTTGCATGCACTGCTGTCATATAAAAATCTCCAGGGGGACACATAGTTGTTAGCGATACTGTTCTTAAGCTGGGGCGACCAGGGTTCTGCCTCTAAGATGGCAAGCATTTGATCTCGGGAAGTATCACTGAATCTCTACCAGCTGTGGGGCTGCTGTGCTGTGTGTCCTGGACCTGAGGCAAATAAGAAGGTTTTCACTGTGAGGATTATTTACATATGCCATACTTGAAATACTGGGTGAAGTTGAACTTGTTCTTACCTATATCCCTGCTTTTCATATGTGCCCTAACACTGCCCCTGTGTTTGTGTTTCTTCCATGACAGGTAATAAACGTAAAGGCCTGCAGTGGGTAATAGATGTAACCATAGCTTACCCAAAAGCAAGACCCATGGACATCCAGACCTGGATCTTTGGCTACAGGCCTCCTACAGTTACACATGTACACTACAGGTAAGAATTTAAAGTTTGTTCTAACCTAGTTTTTAAAACTGTCATTTGTCATTCACGTGAGAGGGGAACACCAGAACCATTTTTACCATGCAAATTTATTATGCAGCCAACATGCAAAAAACTGCATCACATGAACACGTACCACATTACGTCATGAAATAAGTGCAATGTAATGTTAGTCGTTTTGTATTGTTAATATATTTTAAACATTTTACATTATTATTGGTACTTTAAGGTTGGTATTCCTGGTAAACTATATGATTTTAAAATGAAAAAAAACTGAAATGAAACAGTTGCTTGGTTGCTGTTTGCGCCTGTCACTTACTGTATATTTCCTTCATAAGAGGAGTCTGTATAACCGGAGAGTCACATCACAGGTCTGTAGTCGAGTTATAAGTCACTTATATATTGACTTTGACACTCCATGTGTGTTTTCTTATATCGAGGGAGACCTTGTGGACAGCCCACTGACGACACAAGTTCACTGCAGTAAAAATCCACCTTGCATACCTAGCGAGTCAGCAGAACACACCTGACATTGAAGGTTTCCCGTGGAGTTTTAGACCCCCAGTAGCACTGTGGAGTTGTTTTTCTATGAGTGGGTCTCTGTTTTGTTTTATCTTGTGCAGGTGTACATGTTTGCTAAACCTCAAGGATACATACAGTGGGTTTTGGTGGGGAACACTGAATGTTTTGCACAAAAAACAGGTCAGGTCATTATGGCAACTCATGTATGCAACGTGTTCGCTTTTCCTCCGTGTTGATTGTATGCAGAAGTGGCTAAGGCTTTTTGCAGTAACCTAAAAATTATGTGTTAACTTTGAATTCAGGTCAAGGGTGGCGTGTATATAATTGGTAACCTTGGCTTCAGGTCGGACATTGCATATACACTACAGTAGTGCTCAGTCTTGCTGTTCCTCGCCCAGTTGAATTCCTCCTACACAGCTGTTTCTGTTTCAGTTAATGATTGTGTTTCACCCTACATATTGAATTGGTGATCATTAGTTTGACGATATGCCTACAAAATTCCTGACTTTGTGCAACTGTACCTAGAATAATTTATGCTGTTTTGAAGGCAAAGAGTGGTCACAACATATTGATTTGATTTAGATTTTTCTTCTGTTCACTCACTTTGTATTTCGTATTTTTGCACCATACTGTACTTAATGACATATTTAAGCATTTACAGAGATTCTCCTCCTGCTACAACACTTACAAAAAAAAAATCCCATTATTTTAGAGCTGGAACGGTTACTAACTAAACAGCGGTTATTTTGATACTGGTGGCAGCTATGCAAATGTGGAGGATGTTCACATATGATAATTAACTAAATGTTATTGGATTTTGGTTGGAAAAACATGCAATTTGAAGATTTCATCTGGAAATTATAATGTCCATTTTCCTCATTTTACAGGCAAAGCGATTTATTGAGAAAGTGATACGCGGAGTAATTAGTAATGAAAACAATTATTAGTTTCAGCCTTTGGCTCTTGGTGTATTTGTATAATTTCAAGCCACACTTTTTTTTTAGATTTGTCTACCTGGTTTTACTGCAGGTCTAAAGTGCTTAAATACGATATATTTGTGTGCGTGTGCAAGACAAAACATTCATTTTACTTGGTGATATTGCAGTGTTACCTTAGTGGGTTTCAGAGGACATGTTGACTTTTAATGTGACATGTGACAACTTGAAAAAACAAAAATGCAGGTTGAAATAAAAAGTAAACACATTCACCATCCTGTATTCTTCATCTAATTTGCCCCTTCATTGTCATGCCGTCGGTGCCCTCCAGGTGCCCCTCTGATGCTAATCCATCCACTCGAGAATATGATGAAGGTAGATTTTCTGTAGACTCGGTTCAGGATAAATGTGGCCCTCTGTGCATTGTCTTGCCCAGGTAGATTAGAAGGGACAAGCAGCAGTGATCAGGTAGAAGTCATCTCAACCCTTAATGTTTTCTTTTGGCCCTGAAACATCTCCCATGTGTGTTCACCTCTGGGTGCAGGGTGGGATGGGGCAAAATATAAGGTGATTTATGAACCCCGGCTTGCCGGCCTGTCTCTGGAGGCTTCTCTACCCACTTGGGCTAGAGCTAAGGACTCATTAACTCTGTAATTAGACAAGCAGTGGAGGCACTAGTCTCAACCCCACCTCGGGGAGTCTCTAATCAGCCATTGACACAATCAGTGTCCCTCGCTTGGTCAGCAGCTCTGCAGCCTGGGACGGACAGGGAGGCACCCAGCGAGGTTAAAGGCACATCTGTTCCTGTTACAAGTGTGCACACTCAGTTCCAGCCATGCAGATTCAGAATACTTTATATGACACTGATCATACAGAAATTAGGCTCATGCTGGTACAGGTGCAGAGTCAACAAAAGGATTAATCTGCCTGCTGATCGCTGTGGGGGAGTGAGCAATGTCATGGCGGCCAGAGAAGTGTGCCATGCTTTTGGTTTCTGGTGCGTCAGTTTATGACGGTTTCTGTAGCATTGTTTCACCAGCCTGCCTACAAAATGTAAATAATGTTATCAAATTTTGAGAGTACCCCCCCACCTTAAAAACCTATAAATAATATAATGATGTATACTTAGAATAATTGTGTAAGTAATAAAACAATACAAATAAAAGTGCGTTTTAAGTTTAGAAACATCTTTGAATCCTTCAGTAGTTGTGGAACTGCAGTAATGTTAATTAGGCTGGCAGGGCTGTTTTATGCACTTGAGACATTGGATGAACTCATTATTTTGTCTTTAATACAGATGATGCTGAGTCATTAATTAATTAATCATGACAAAAAGTTATGATAACACTACCTAGCTTGTTTGGTAGCTTGTTTAACAGTTTGTCGGATTGTGAGTCACCTTTTACAGCTAGAGATACGCTGATTGATCAGCTGGGGACTGAAATAGGCTGTTTTTTCCCCCGCTTACTCTGACTGACCGGTGACCGTGGGCCGGGCAGTGTCAAATAAAAAATCAGTAATTAGAATCAGCCAGGAAAAATGTAATTTTTGCATCTCTTACTACAGCTAGCACAGCGATAAGCCTGTGTATGAACTGATATTATTGCTAATACCGTAGATCTACTGTTGTGTTGGGCTTTGCGCTTTATAAGTGTCAGATAAGTTGGCCTGCTGCTGTAAAATATCTAATTAAGAGACATCCTCTGTCCCAGAAAAACCTAAATTACTATGTAGAGGACGTTTAATTAGGATAAAACGACCGCGTGGTGAACCGATGAACTTAAGTCATATTTGTTGTTTCTTTTTGTTGTTGGCCAGAAAAGTAGTAGTTAGACGTCCCTCTGTGTCCCCTTCAAAAATTGTTCTTGAGAAATTTTATGTTTATTGTCCCCCCCCCCCCCCCAACTGTTAGATGAAATTTACGCCTATGACAACAACATAACAAGAACAACATAAAACAAATCTATTATTGAGAAGAAGTTAAACATTCCTGACCGTTGGTTGTAGTTGTTTGAGAGTGTGACGAGATCTCGTGATAAAACGTGACTATTTCTCGTTGAGGTGAAAAGCTGTCTCACGATATCCGCATGACGGAGTGTGAGGGTGAAATTACCATAGAAGACTCCCCTGAAACTTATGTATCGTTTGTGTGGCAGCATTTTGAGTTCCCTGTGGAAAAAATCAACGGCGACAGAGTGACCGATAAGACACAAATAATATGTACACATTCCACAATGTTGCTTACATATCGAATGAAAGACTGTAACACTGGAATATATTTCCAGTTATATATTTTCGTCTTTGAAGATTTCTTGAAAAGTGTTTAAAATCTTGTCTCTTCTCTTCTCTTGAACCCAATATCATGTATCGTCTCGTGAGCGTATCATCGCACCCCTACTTTTAAATTTTTTCAGCAGACTCTGCTTTACCTTCGTTATCTGAAAGTTCATCTTTTTCAAAGCCACAGAACCTGACAAACATCCAACTGGGGTTGATCGGGGGGTTTTGGGTTCTTGGGGGAAGTCAGGGAATTTTACAAAAGGGCTAATTTCACCAAAATATATTGCTCATACGCAAATTGAACGACCACATCCTTATGAAAAACTAACTTCAAAACGTCATGCTTTTGCTAATGTGATAAAATAGACATATGAAACTGGGTTTTTAATAGTGTTGCGATTCCTCTTGAGACACTAAAAACCAACCTATTAGAACCAGTAGTGAATAATACTCCAATATGGTTCCTGTTGAGATGGTCGTGACAGCAGCCAGAGATTAAGTAATAGGGAATAAACGGCAAACAAGCTTTCAGTGATGTGTCTTCTGCTGAGTTTCTGAGTGTGTGTTGTTCCCCATACATTGTTGTTATACTATTATAACTTCAGGATCAATAAAGTTGTCAGAAAACGTGCAGAGAACAGTATGGGAGCTCCCTGACTGACTGTTTATCCATTTAGTCAGATGTCTCCTTATTTTTTATTTTTTGTATCCGCCTCTTCTTTTTGTTGTTCTACAAACAGAAGACGCCCAAAGACTTTTTACCAGATTCACAGTAGCATGAAAATGATTAGCTAGTTTCTTTTTTTGTTTATATTTATCTTTCTGAGATGCTGGTTTTCTTTTTTGGGATTATATGTACAGACTAGTTCTTCCCTCCCTCGCAGGCACAGATCCTTGGCGCATGTCAACTGTTTGCTAAGACATCAGCTGAAGTCTTGGTGTTGTGTTCAAGTTCAGCAGGAGACGTGGAGCGATCATTTTTTACAGTTGCGTCCCGCCTGACAGTTTCTGTGTGAACTGACCACAATGATGGACTGCAGTCCTCCTCCAGTGTTACCATTTTATGGGGCTGTATAGATTACTACTACGCCTGAGCCTCAGCTTTAAAACAGGCAGCTGAGAATTGAGTAATATTCTAGATGAATCCACGTTGAGCACTCTCTACATTTTTTTTTTGTTTTTTTTTAATCCTTCTACCTCCCTGTTTCTCTCGCTGCCTCCAGTCCTCACCCCTCAGCCCCACCCTCCCTCCCTCGC